CTCCAAGGGATGCCCAAAGCCATTCAGCCGCAGCTGGGCAGAGTATTTCTTTCAAGGGTCAAGCTTCAGGCAGAATAATAATAATAATAACTGTGTGCCCTCGGCTCTTACTTAATTGTTTCCAGTTGTACACCAGTGTTCCCTCTAAGCTGAGTCAGTGTGGGCTGGCTCACAGGTTTTAGCCACCGGCGCTCACAGATCCTTTGTCTTCACTCAGGAAGGGTGGCTCCGGAGCAAACTAATTCATGCAGCAGCCAAATCGCTGGCTCACACCTTTAATGCCAGCAGCTCACTCACAAAGTAGAATCTTTGCTCACAAGACTCCACGGCTCAGAGGGAGCATTGGTTGTGCCCTGCCTTCCCCCCCAAAAAAACAGCTTTGCCTTCCCTCTCCATTTTATCCTCATAATGACCCTGCAAGGTTGTGCTGAGAGAGGCCAGATGGTCACCGAGGTCTCCAAGCAGACTTCCATGGCAGAGCAGGGATTCGAACCTGGTTCCCCCAGACACTCGTTTGACACTCTTAATGGGGATGCCGGCCTTCAGGTGGGACCTGGGCACATGTGACACAGATCCTGCCTCTGGGTAGCAGCCCTGGGCTTCTTTGGTGGTGTCCCATCCAAGGACTCACCAAGGCCGACCCTGCTTAGCTTCCAGGAGCTGAAAAGATGGGGGCCGGGCTGAGCTATCAGTCACAGAGCATCAAATAAAATCTGGGCGGTTCCTGGAGCCCACCCTTTGGCCGATTGTGTGGCCCTTAAAAGACTTGCGCTCAGGAGGCTGAAATGTCAGTCAAGTGTCAACGAATTGAGGCATGACGTGGAAAGCTTTCAGACCAAGAAAGGCGGTTTAAAGTATCTCGGTTCTGAAAGGGAATGATCGCCATACAGGGAGGTGGATTGACAATCTCATCTCTAGCTTTCTGGCACTTTACAGTTCCTGTGTGCTTGTGATGTAGCCAGGGGTCATTTCGTAGAAAAAGAGATGCAGGAGCTCATTAGCATAACTCATTTGCATATCCCACACTCCCTGACATCACCGGAAGTGTGTCAGAAGGCGGTAACACCCACTGCTCAGGCTCCACTGGACTGTTTTGGATCCCTAGCTATTGGGGGGGGGGGACATGCAGATCTGTCCTCGCAGAGGAGGGAGAGCTTGTACCTGAATAAAACTTGGTCTTAAAGGTGCCACTGGACTGTTTTGGGCAAGGGGGGGCTCTGCAGCTTACCTGGCTGCTTCTTGCTCTGACCGAGGGCTGCTGGAAGCAGGGGGTGGGGCTTGTTGCATGTGCCCACCCCCTGGGCTCTTTACTGCCAGAGCTCCGCTCCTGTGCGCCCCTGCAGGAAATGACCCCTGGATGTAGCCCAGGAGCGGAGCGGGGCCTTTAAAAGCCCTGGAGCCGACTGAGGGAAGGCTGGTTGTTCTCCTCGCCACTAGGAACTCAGCAGCCCCTTGGATGTGCCCGCTGCTGGTCGCCCTCCAAGACAGCAGCCCGACAAGACTTTTTCCAGTAAGTTACAGAGCCAAGGACTGCTGGATTCAGATTCGGCCATAGTGGTGATCACAGAGACGGGTGTTCCCTCTCCCTCCCTCCCTCCCTCCCTCTCTATATACACTCACACACACATATACATACATAAAGGTAAAGGTTCCCTTGCTCGAAAGCCAGTCGAATCCGACTCTAGGGTTGCGGTGCTCATCTCCATTTCAAAGCCGAAGAGCCAGCGCTGTCTGAAGACGTTTCCGTGGTCATGTGGCCGGCATGACTACACACCAAGGTGCACGGAACGCTGTTACCTTCCCACCAAAGTGGTCCCTATTTATCCACTTGCAATTTCTTGCTTTCGAACTGCTAGGTTGGCAGGAGCTGGAACTAGAGACGGGAGCTCACTCCATCATGCGGCACACTCGGGTCTTGAACTGCTGAACTACCGACCTTCCAGAGCCTGCAGTTCAGCGTCTTAACCACTTGAGCCACCGCAGCTCCCATATACATACATATGCACATACATACACACATACAGCTGCCATATACTGAATCCATCAAGGTTGGTATTAGTTGTTGTAGATTTTCCGGGCTGTTTGGCCATGGTCTTGGCATTGTAGGACCTGACGTTTCGCCGGCAGCTGTGACTGGCATCCTCAGAGGTATAACACAGAAAGACGGAGTACTCTCTGTGTCAAGGTGAGAAGGAAAAATGGTAAGCAGATAATTTATATCTACTCAGAAAAGGTTGGTGTTGTCTACTCAGACTGGCAGCAGCTCTCCAGGGCCTCAGGCGGAAATCTTTCCCATCACCTCCTGCCTGTTTCTTTTTTAACTGGAGACGCCGGGGATTGAACCTGAGACCTTCTGCATGCCAAGCAGATGCTCTGCCACCGAGCCACAGCCCCTCCCAAACAGCACACGACACGAACATATGAAGCCTGCCTTATACCGAATCAGACCCTTGGTCCATCAAGGTCAGTATTGCCTGCTCAGACTGGCAGCTGCTCTCCAGGGTCTCAGGCAGAGAGGTCTTTCGCATGCCCAAGACCTGGTCCCTCTTAACTGGAGAAGCTGGGGGTTGAACCCGGGACCTTCTGCATGCCGAGCGGCTGCTCTGCCCCTGAGCCCACGCCCTTGGCCTCCTGCGTGTATAATTGCTGCCGCTGTCCAGATTCGAGCTGAGCGGCTTTGGCAATTCCCTCTGGGGTGGCAGGGCCCCCCTGGCCCCCCGAACTTTCCCAGTAAGTTAGAGGGCCACTCTGCCCTGCTGGAACAGCTTAATTTTGCAGGCCACAGCTTGGTTCGTCAGAAGCAGAGGTGCTGGGTATAATCAGCGGGGTGTGGTCTGAAGGCACTGATACGGCAGCCTTGCTAAAGTAAACATGTCTGGGATTAGTCCTGTCTGGGTGGGAGACGGGCCCGGAGGTTCCCTGTTCACCCGGCCTTTCTTCCCTGGTAGAAGAGAGTCAGGATACTAATGCTATCAAGAAATATTATATAAAGATGATGGCGGGTAGACAGGATCCAAATTGTTGCAGAGCTTCCTGGGAAGCCAAAAGCATGAAATTTGGAACGTGATTTGTGTACAACACTTTACTAGAATATGAGCTATTAGAATGTCTTTCTCACCCCACCCCCAAACAGGGAAGAAGAAGAAGAGGAGGAGGAGGAGGTGGAGATTAGATTTATACCGTGCCCTTCACTACCCAAAGGAGAAGAAGAAGAAGAGAAGAGATTGGATTTATACCCCACCCTTCACTTGGAGTCTCAGAGCGGCTTACAAACTCCTTTCCCTTCCCCTCCCCACAACAGACACCCTGTGAGGTGGGTGGGACTGAGAGAACTCTGACACAAACTGCTCTTTTTCAAGGACAGCTGTGCAAGAGCTTGTGACTGACCCAAGGTCACATCAGCAGGTGCAAGTGGAGGAGTGGGGAATCAAACCCGGTTCTCCCAGATTAGAGTCCGCACACTTAACCACTACACCAAACTGGTTTAGAGCTGCTTACAAACTCCTTTGCCTTCCCCTCCCCACAGCAGACCCCCTGTAAGGTAGGTGGGGCTGAGAGAGCTTTGACAGAAACTGCTCTTTTCAAGGACAGCTCTGACAGAACTATGGCTTGCCCAAGGTCATCCATCAGCTGCAAGTGGAGGAGTGGGGAATCAAACCCGGTTTTCACAGATTAGAGTCCACACACTTAACCACTACACCAAACTGGCTTAGAGCTGCTTACAAACTCCTTTGCCTTCCCCTCCCCACAGCAGACCCCCTGTGAGGTAGGTGGGGCTGAGAGAGCTCTGACAGAAACTGCTCTTTTTTCGAGAACAGCTCTGACAGAACTACAGCTTGTCCAAGGTCATCCAGCAGCTGCGAGTGGAGGAGTGGGGGAATCAAACCCGGTTCTCCCAGATTACAGTCCACAGACTTAACCACTACACCAAATCTACCACTTTGGTAATTGGAGATTCTAGACTAAATGGTCTTACGTGGGCAACTCTTTAGATGTGTTCTTTTAAAAAAAATAATATTGTTTTTATTTTAAAAGTTTAAAATTCACATACATAGTGTGTGGGGGGGAGGAAATAAAGGACACAGCATCTCAAAATTGTTTCATAAGATAGCAGTAATGACGGTATAGAATTAGTATCACTCTAAGATGAATTCCCTCAGTACGAGGGGGGGGGGGAAGCAAATGAGAACACTTCCTCATTTCTTATTTTAGAAACAGAAAAACCTCCTTCTTTGGAGGTTTTCAAACAGAGGCTAGGTGGCCCCATCTGACAGCAATGCTGATTCTGTGAACTTAGGCAGATCACGAGAAGGGAGGGCAGGAAGGGTTGCCTCAGTGCTTGGTTCTCGTGGCCCTTTCTTACACGCCCAGGGAAATGCTGATCGCCACTTTGGGGTCAGGAGGCAATTTTTTCCAGGCCAGTTTGGCCAGGGATCCTGAAGGATTCCCCCCCTTCTGGGCATAGGGCAGGGGTGACTGGGATTGTGGGGAGAGTTGTGCAGGGGGTTGGACTAGATGACCCTGGAGGTCCCTTCCAGCTCTATGATTCTATAAATAATATGTATTTTTAAAATTTATACTTTTACCTTTTCACCTTTTTAAATGAAAGGGCTCAGGGCTATTTTTGGGCAGGAACGCACAAGAACGGAGTTCCGGCTGGCTCCTGAGTTGGACCCGCCCAGCAGGAACTCATTAGCATAATAGGCCACACCCAACAGCAGAAACTCATTAGGATTGGCTACATTAGGGGTGTGTGGCCTAACATGCAAAGGAGTTCCTACTACAAAAAAGCCCTGGGTTTTGACA